TGATTGTACAGCAAGAATAAGCATTAAATAAGTATGAATAAAATATTAGATTCTTTTGTGAGAGTTTTCATATAAAAAAACAGAGAGTGCTGACATTTATCGTTGTCTGAAAAAAATAAGCTTCATGGTAAACATAAAGAGAAACGTGACAAAAGAAGAATGCTAGTTATTACCGTCTCTAATATGTACCACGAGAATTTATTGCCAAACTGGCATATTGAGAAAAACAATACTTATTTATTTGCACTTCTATCGCATAAAAACTCAATGTATATTGAAAACTAGTCAATACTTTTGAATTTCCAAATTGAGGACAGAAAAAAAAGCATATTTTACTTTGATATCAAATTATTGTTAAATTGATCTTTTGACTGAACTCATTTTATTTTCAAGACGACACATTTTATATTTTTAATATATAGAAACACCAAAAGTAAAAACAAGGGTGAAACTAGGAGGATCACGTGGGGCGTAACACTCTTCCGTTCCTCCCTGCGTTTGAAATTGGCCATCAACCGTTATAAGATATATGTTAAAATGACGTTGTGATTTCCGACACTTATGGTTTTGCGTCGAATTACACTGTTGGATAGAACGATATGATATTTTTCTCGTTTCCGTAAAAGCTATAGTAGATATGACAAAGAATTTTTACTTCTCGTTCTCTTTTGTGAGATACTCCTGATTTTTTTAAGGAAATATATCCATCGTATTTAAGATGATGATCATATTGAAAAGTTTTTCTGCACGATTCTTTTTTTTTCTCTAAACGACACTAATGGACAAGATCTTATAAACTCATTTTTTTAACATTTATTCAACTAGCTGAATTAATATTTTAATCAAAATGCATGAGAAAATCTTTTGACAACATTTCTAGTCTTGATAATGAGCTTTGACGAAGTTTATTTTTCTTTTTGCTACTTTCTGTCATATTAACTCGTTCACGGTAAGTGAAGAAAACAGTCTATGAATTATTGACTACTAGTATTTTATTATTATTGTATTCAAATAATAAACGTCAGAAAAAAGTTTTTTATTATTACTTTTTATATGCTGTCATAATTTATTTTGATAGGTTTTATTTTTATTCATAAGATCAATAGACCATTTCAATAGAGAATATTATATATTAAAAAACAAAATGAATATTTTAGTTCATGAATAGATCTACTATGAGCTTAAGAAAATTTCACTATATTACATAAGAAAAAACAAAATTTTTTTTTTCTTGTTGATTCAAAAAACAACTTGTTTTCTCCCATGGTGAAAAGAAAACTAATTATAGAATTTAATCACAATAGGAAGCAGATAAATTACTCATAGAAAAATTTTCTTGAAAGATACATCATGCAATTAATTTGTGTTTTTTTTTTCTTCTATTCTTCTATTGATTTATTTCTTGAAAAGACGAGCATTCTTATCGTTGAATATGCATCGATCACCGCCTTAAGATGATGACTCGATGAGTGAATAAAAAAAAAAAAAAGAAAACAATGAAGAGAAGTGTGCTTGAAAGGCTTGCCACTCAAGAGAGAGTGTGTGTGAAGTAGAAGATCGTCAGGCACACGGTTTTCTCTGTTTCTGTTTTGCTTGCTTGCATGCATAAGCTTTTTTTCTTTTTCTGTGGCAAGAGCGCTCATTTACGAAATACAGAGATCTGTTCTGTTTACCTCATCATTATCAATGGAGAAAAAGCGAAAGAAAAAGAGAACGGATAGCAGAAGAGGATATGTTAGCAGAGAAACAAGGCAAAAGAAACGGAAAGGTATACATCATACGGCTGTTTTATCTCTACCATTAGCCATAGGGTAGACACTAAAATAACCAAGGAAGAAAAGTATTTATCTTAGGGAAAACAAAAAGGAAAAGGAAAAGGATTAGCTTAATTGTTACATCCAACAATACTATAAGTAAGCTTTAGAATATAATTGTTTAGTTTTTATTTTAATTATCAAGTAGAAATATCTAATTTTTTAAAAATATTATAGATAGTTTAATTAAAAAGAGAATAGAACATTATGAATACACAAGTTACAGATCGAGAACTAACATTAATTTTACTTGCATCGATGCTTACTATTTTGGTTGTTTTATATATTGTTGGAAAATGGCTTAATTTCCATTTACTTGCTTGTTGTTTCAATCGGGCGCGAAATAGAAAACCTTCAACAACAGTTTCCGTTACAGGACAACCTACTCAGGTAGAAATGAGATCCGAGCAAAAAAAGACAAATATAAAAGTTTTTTATTTTTATTTTTTTCTCAAGGAACCTATGGCATCTTTTATCGACCTACGTACAATTAATGAGTCGCTAAAAAATAATAATGACAGCAATTTGTGGACGCCTGCTGTTGGTTCTATTTCTTCGTTGGTCACAAATGACACAACGTATGATGATGCACCCATGCGTTCGTTAATTCTTTCCGTTCGTTTTTACATTCCTATGATTTTCTTTTTGTTAATGTAGCTAATAGTAATAGTGCATATGACATTGTTTCTTATGCTAATAATATTAAATCTACATTAAAACGCACAATATCATGTGATTCAGATAATGAATCAATTGGAACATCATCAAATGAATTATATATGACAGAAGAAAATATTGGATCGGGAAAAGTTCAAATAACAATTAATTATAATGCGTGAGTTAATCGATGAAACAAAAATAAATATTGATCTTCTTTTTCCCTTCTAAATAGGTTAGAAGAATATTTAGAAATTTTATTTATTCAAGCTCGTGATTTGACAATATTAAATGAAGATAATAATGATTTAAAACTATTTATTATTGCATGTTTAGATCATGATCAACGACGAAGTCAACGAAGTCAGGTTAGAATAACGATTTTTTTTTTGTTTTTTAATAATCTATATTGTTCTTTAATTTTCTATGATTAGTTAATTACTTATCACAAAAGTCAACCAGTCATATTCAATTCATCCATGAAATGGAAAGTTATTGATGATCATTTACCATGTACAGTTTTGCATACAACTCTTTACACTCGACAAGAAAATAATACTGAAATAGTAGTAGGAGAATGTTCATTTACTATTGGAGAGGTTTATATTTATCAACCATTAACGACTTGGTTAAATTTACATGATAGTGATGAAGTAAAATAAATTCATTATTCAATGTTTTTTTCTTCTTATGTTATTTTATTGAATGTTATAGGCAGATTGGTATCGTGGTGAAGTAAGTATATCTCTTTGTTATCATCCAACGGCTGATCGTTTAACTTGTTCATTGATTCAAGCACGGAATTTGACCTTTCATAAACGAGAATCTATCATCACTGATATGATATCAACAAATTGTTATGCTACAATCTCATTACTTCATCATAATCAAGTAATAAAAAAAACTCGTACCAGTTATCATCATGCAACTGATAGAAATCCTGTATTTAATGAAACATCTGTATTTAATGTTTCAAGTAATGATCTTCTTACTTCATACATACGTATTGTTGTTTATGAGATCGTATCATTACCATCATCATCATCATCATCATCATCAACAACAACAACAAGAACATTTGAAATAGGTCATTGTCTTATTGGTAATCATGATCGTACACAACATATTACTCATTGGCAACAAATGTTGCGTGTTCTTCGACGTCCTGTCATTGTTTGGCATCCATTAAAATTATAAAAATATCATCATCATCATTTATTTAGACATGAGTATTATGTCATCAAGAAAAAAAAAACACATATTACAAGCTATATTTGTTTTCGACGTACATATGCAATATAGATTGTGTTTATTCAAACAAATATGAAAGCAACGATTGTAAGAAAAAAAATTGTAATAAATAAATCATATTATCATTATGTTTCTTTATCGTTTTAGATGAAACTTATGGGATCTATTTTTTCTGTCAAGATAAATTAAGAATGGTAAATTCTTTGTTGACATCTTGCTATTTTGCTTTTAATGATATCATTAGAAAAGGATTTATTCGTATCTTTTTACTAATTATTTGATTATAAGTGATAAACAATAATAAATTTAGTGAGTTGTATTTATAACGAAAAATAAAAATAAAACAAACATACGTGATAAATACTCCTACTTCGAATATAATAAACGAGTATAAACAAAGATCAAGTGTCTTGAAATTTTGATTTTCAATGCAGCTATTAATAGTACTTATTTGGGTCACAATGAAACTGTCAAATTGAGAAATACTTGAATAATGGCATTGACGTTGATTTTTTAAAGAACTTTTCGCTTGAGTGTACACTCACATATACAATTTATCAAGAGTAGTTTAGAGAAAAGCTGAAAGTATTAATATCTAATGTAATCTCAAGACCTTCAATAGGTCACGATTACATAGAAAAAAAAAATTTATATTCAACAAGTGAAATAAGTGCAAAAAAAATCTATTCATGAATATCGCAGTCAACGATATATACCAATCAATCAAAATTTTGTTGATAGCTATTTATATTGCATAGTATGAGATACGAAACATTTTAATGATAGTTTCTTTTTACCTTATAGAAATGCATATAAGAGAGACAAACATCCTTATATAATCGTTGTAGAAAATAAGACAAACATCATTACTTATTAATGATCATAATTGCTTTTTTTTGTAAAATATTTGAATATTTTATATTTGATAAATATCTATTCGATTGATTGAGAACCGTTTATAATTAGCTTTTACATTATTTTATGAGTAACTTTCTATAATGTATTGCTATATGATTCATGATAAGTGTGACTGCGCAAAATTTCTTAAATAATATTGAGTTACGAGTAAACACGTACACAATCTTATTCATTTACCTTGAAATGACAAGGATATTTCATCTTTTATTCACGCTTGGTTTACCAAGCGATACACTAAATACTATCATCATCATCATCATCATCGTAATTTAAAATCAAATATAAACGTTGTAAGTATTCATTCTACTACTAAGGTAAAAGTACGATTGGTGTATTCGTTGAAAGAAACTTTTAACAAAAATGGCTAACGATCCCGTTGTTGCTCAATTATCACCTTCTCAAGTTCAGGAAATTACAACAGCTTTCATGGAATTTGATGTTAATCGTAATGGTGTTATTACAGGATCAGAAATGAAAGAATGTCTTCGTCGATCAAATATTCAATTTCAAGATGCTGAAGTTGATCGTGTTATTTCAAATATGGATACAAATCGAGATGGTACAGTGTCATATGATGAATATATGAAATTTATGGCTCGTGTTTATACTGGACACTACAATCAATTTCAAGTAGGGCCACCTTCAGGAAGTAACCCACCGTATGGTCAAAATCCACCACATGGTCAAAATCCTCCATATGGACAAAATCCTCCATATGGTCAAAATCCACCATATGGTCAAAATCCACCATATCGTCAATAATAATCTCAACTGTAAGTCTCTGACAAAAGCATGGATATTATATTAATATTAATGTTTGTATTTCTTATAGCTACCCTCCTCAATAAAATTAACAACTACGTACAATTGTCCTCAATACAATTAATAAACTCAACATATTCAGTTTTTCGATTTTTATACTTTTTATCTTTCTTCCTATTCTTCTATTTCATTCTCTTTAGCTATTTTTTCTTTTCTTCTATTTAATTATCTTTATTTTCTTTTTCGTTTTCTTATTTGTCCTATAATTCTTAAATAAAATGTGCGATCGTCTTTGTATGGCATTTTCATTGAAAGAATTACAAGCATTAATACAATTAAGAGATGCTGATACTACGATTGGTCCTAATTATGTAGAATTAGGTACTAAATTAAAACCTATTCAAACATATAATGCATTACGAAATAGTCCATGTCCTATATTACTTTCTGAGAAACATATTTATGATGGTATACCATCAAATTCAACTGTACTTGCTATTATGCAATGGGGTTTATTACTATCATGGAAAATTGAAGGTAAAACAAAATCAAAATATCGTATAGCAAATGTTAAAAAAGAGAAATTAAATTAAATAAGAACTTTTCAGGTTATTTTTTTATCAAAAAAAATTTTTTTCTTGTTCTCGAATAGAACAAAATTGATATCAGTTATTATAGATATTATTACAAAAAGGTCATCGATGTGTATTAGTTTGTGAATGTTTTTATCAATTTATATCATCGAATAATAAATCATATAAACAAGCCTATTTTATACATTTAAAAAATATGTTTGATGTACGAAAAAAAATGAAATAATTCCACCATGGTATATTGCTGCTCTTTTTGATACACTTAAACAATCTGGTGGATGAGAAATTTATTCATTTAGTATTATTGTAAGTAGATATTTAAAGATATTTGAAAATGATTTTTATCCTAGTAGACAGTTAATACGCCAACAAATATATCTCATAGAATAGCTCCATATATACCAGCTATATTCAATAGTATTCAACAAGCACTTGATTGGATTGATTTTGATTGTATAGATATGAATGAAGCACTTAAACTATTAGAAAATCATCAACAAAATCTTGTCATAGATCTCGTATCAAATCATGTTTTTAAAAGATCAAATACTGGTCTAGAAGTAATTATATATATATATGTTGTAGTCAGAATTGAAATTTTCATTTGATGAAGCTAGGAGAGTAAAACCTTCATAACCAAGGGTGTGACTAAGACTGGAGTGAATTTGCAAATAATATAAAATAGATTTTGGATCAAGGGCCTTGAGATTTGTATTTGGACCATGGATTTTTTTTTGAACTAAATCTGCATAAATACTTTGCAATTTGATAATTATTATTGAAACATAAGCTATTTATATTATTTTTTTTCGAGATTAAAACCAAATACCAAGGGCTTGACTTTAAGTCCTCAAAATCTTTTTTTCTGCTTGAGCTGCATATTTAGTAAAGTAAATTAGTGTTGATGTCACCTTGTCTTACCTAATCATTTGAGACTAAATCCAAACCCAAACCAAATCCAAATCTAATCTCAACTCTAAAAACTTTGATTTTATTGTATTCCTACTATAGAGAAACTGCGTGTGAGTTGTGTCTGGTTTGTAGGTGGACGTGAATGAGGACGAGGGCTTTATTCTACTTACACTCTCATATGATATTTGTTAATAAATTTTGTGCAAGAAAAATATAGTTTCTTAATATTTTAATTGTTTGTCTTTCTTTACCTTTTTCTGTTCATTGAAAGAGAAATTTTAATTTTGAAGCGCATTATATCTATACACATATAGTTTTGTTTAATTGAATCATTTTTATTATGATATAAAATTAGTGTATAGAAATTATATGCGAATCAACCATAGAAAAATCATCAACAAATATCAAATCGGAAGATGATATCGATATGAAAATAATTGAAAAACCTACTGAAGATATTGAACAACAACATGAAAATGCATCATATCAACAAAAGAAAAAGACATTATCAAAAGCCTTCGAATAATCCAGGTATTAAATATGATGAAAATATATTAATACCTGTTTTAGAAGTTTCCTTAAATTGAACAATTGTTCAAAGTTGCCGAAAGAATCACAGAACACTGAGCTTCTCTGATATGTACCAATTTCTAGAGGATATTTCCCAAATAATTTTTGGTACTTTACTATTTTGTTTTCGATAAGCAAGAGATGGAATTGAAAGCTTATTGAAGTAATAGGCAAAGATTTTTATCATGATGTCCATTGAGATGAATGTTTCCAAAGAATATTACGGTACAGAAAGAAACTTCTTCGCATTGAGTACAAATATTTCTTTTCTATGACAAGAGAAGTCTCCCAACTGATAAATGACCTCCAAGTTAAGATTACATGGATTGTGTAGTACTAAATGAGCTATGAATATACTCCGAAAACAGGTCATCCTCTTAGCTTATTTCTGTCAAGATATTGAACTTTCATGGTAGTTGTTTAAAATAATAGTCGTGATCTCCTTCAAAAATACCGACAAAACTGGTTTTCAAATATCAACTTGAAACTTTCTAAAGAAACAGTCTGTAACAAGAATGATTTCTTGCAGTTGTTTTCATCTTAAAATATAGCTATGGTAAAACTATGCCTTTTACATTGTTCATATATAACAGTATATGAAGATTTGAATTTTTTGTAGAATATGTATAGCTAGTTTTCTTCTACATCATGTACGTAGTTTCGCCTCAGAAGCAATTCATGAGTTGGAAGAATCTCTTCATCAATACAGACTCAAATTTTATTATGAATATCTCATCTTCTATTTCGTCGATTTCCTTGTAAACTAATCAAGAACGTACTTTGGAATATTCTACTCTAGTCATCTTTCATCAAATTTCTTCAATCCTTAAAAACGTTAATACAAAGTGATAGTTATCGCAAAGTTTTATAAGAATGGAGCATTAGAAAATGGAACAGAAGATATTCTATGGCTAAGTGTAGTTTTCTATCTACAAAGGCAATCAAAAAATATAAAAAATATGGATGATGTCATAACTTATCGCACAAATGTCCCGATGCTTTAATCTCGATCATTTTGCTAATTTTCATTTTTCGTTATAAAAACATCACCAAATAAATTTTGTGTCATATATTATTTAGAAAACTCGTCATTCTATTCCAATCGGAAAGAATATAGAAAAAAGCGAACAAAATCTTTCTACATAGAATAAACAACAAAAAACATGAAATGAAAGAACAGAATAATAAATTATCTATGTTAATAACATCATGATCAAATGACAATGATCGATGAATAATTTAAACAAAAAAGACAAATATCTTATTTCATTAAGAATATTAAAGTTTATTTAAATTTAAAAAAAAAATCATCAGTTTTATTTTATCATATACAAGAAACAAAAAAAATGGAAACAAACAGTATGGAATGTTTATGTTTATTCAGTAATTAAGAGCACATATAAGTGCAACACCACGTTTTATCCAATATTTTTGAGATTTCGATGATGGAATTTCAATAGTAAAAACAAAATTTGTTGAATGTCCAGTTGTTGATAATGTACCAGCACGTGTTAAAGTTTTATATACAGGACACATATAAATACCTGATGTTGGAATTTGTCGATTTTGTTCTGGTTGTAACCATATAATAGGCATTTCAGTAAATAATTCTTTTGGTCGAGATTCTCCAAGTACATGTAATGCATGATCCCAACGTGCACCTTCAACAAATAAACCTCGTATATAACAACCATCTGTAGGTGTTTGTGTTAAATCTTTAGCTGATTGTTTCATTACCTTGAAAAAAATATTTGAAAAAAAAAATAATGTTTTTTCTTTGATTAAAATCTTTAAAAATGATTTTCTACATACTTGAAAACCAAAACTAACTGTATCAATTGATATGACATATTTTCGAGCAAAATTTTGTAATGTACCCGTAAGAAATGCTTGTGGAAAAAAGAAACCACTTATCCAAAAAACAGTTGGAATACCATGATCAACCCATGCTTGTACAAATTCAACACGTTGAATTAAATCAATAACCCATGAAGCAAGTGGTTTTAAACTTGGATAAGCCTTTAAGATAAAAAAAAAGAAACCAATGATGTCATTATTTATTTAAAAGCCAAACAAAAATCTATATATGTAGAAACATACAACTTTACTCCACATGACTGGTACAGCATTATTAAATAAACTCTTTGACATTTCTTCTAATGCTTGAGAAAGTACAACTAAACCTTTCATTGCTTTAAGTAATTCTTGTAATGATGTATGTATCATATTTAATAATCTATTATACCTAGATAAGAAAAATAAATAAGAATAATTAATAGATATAAAAGAATAACAAAAAAAAAATTTGAAATAAATACCGAATAATTTCTTGTGTTAACACAGTATTCATTGACTGAAAATATAAAAATGAAATTTTTTAAACGAATGCTTTATAAATGATGATTGAGACTATTGAAAAAGTAACTTGATAAAATGTTCTTTTATTGTTTTAGTTTCGAGAGAAGTTTGAAAACATTGAGGTTGAATTAAAATATTGTCTTGTTTCAGAATATAGGTTCAAGAGAGGAGTGTTGGAGATCGCTAGGATTTGGGGAAAGACTCATAAGGAGATTTTTTTATAAAATTGATAGGATTTGGGAAGGGAACATTCAGCGTCTTTTTGAAAATGGTGAGCAAAAAACTACCGGTCGTAACACTTTCGGGTTCAATAGTCCTATAAGATTTCGAGTTTAGGAGTTATGAATTGATCTTTCGGGTCTGAGAAAATTAAGTTCCAACGGAGAAAATTTTCGTTTTTTTTTTTGCATACAATTAAAAGCAAAATTGTTCTCTCGAAAATGATATAAAAATCAAGAGTTTGCAAACAATCATTGAGGAAAATTTGAGTTCATTTTGTGAGTATGTTTTTCATAGAACTTGAGGGAATTGGCGAAATTAATACGATGCTCCTTTCCAAAATAGTCATTGTTGACAGACGACTTAAAGCAAACTAATGAGTTACATATCATTTTACAGAGAAATATTTGCTCTATTTGAAATTATTTTTGCTGCTACTTATAATAGATTTTGGCGTATTGAAGCTCGTCCAAATGTAATTTACGTACCTCACAAAAAAATCAGTTCATAATTCTTTTAAACAAAAGTCTTATGAAAATGTTCAAGTCATTTTCGAAAAGAACACAAAATTTTGATTTTAACTCAATGTTTAGTGAGTCTCTACAGACTTCATTAAGAGACTAGTTAAACGAACGAACATCTTTATCAAATGACTTTTCGACAACTCGTTATAAAAGATACTTTGGTATAATATGTATATAATTAAGAGATAATCTATCGTTACATTTTTATCTATTATGTCTATCTGTCATAGTCTTCTGTGCTATATCGAATGAAATCAATTACCTGTTCATATAAAACAGGATATTTTTCCATAACAATTGCTAATGGTATAGGTTGTGGTACACGTGAAAGAACATCTTTTGCTAATTTTTCAATAACAACATCTCGATTTTCACCAGCTGATGCTGTTTTAGGTTGTAAATCAAGTAAATCATTTAATGTACGATATGTTTCATTTTGGGCAAATGTAACTAGAAGAAAGAAATTTAGAAAAAAAAAGTTTTCTTCTGAATAAAATCTTTATGAATTTACTATTTGCATTATCATGTAAACCAAATATTTCTGGTGTATCATTAATTGGTAAACTACGAACATATGCAAGATATGCTTGATGTTCAGATACTGGTGGTAATTGATGATAAATTTGTGAGTCGTCATAACAAAAATTTGGATCAAGAACTTTTGGTGCATAAAAATCATCGAGTATATTCATTACACATCGACGATCCCAATCATCTGTTACACGACCACCTATAATAAATGAAAAATTTTTTTTTTCTTATTTGATTATTTTCAATATTTTGTTTATTTTTTACCGTAATTGATCTCTCCAGCAGTATATTTTAATACCTAATTAATAAGACAAAAAAAAGGTTTTCTTCTCTTTGTATTTATGATTCAATGTTTATTTGATTTTTACTTTGTAAGCAATTTCGGTATATTCAATTAAAAACATACGTAATTGACTCATACAAATACGTAAATCACCATCAGTGAATTCATATGGAATATTGAAACCAAGTGGACCTAAATATTAATATTATTTGTAATCTTTTCATTTACCGAGAAAAATAATTTTTATTTCTTACCGAATTTTCGACGTTCAAGTAAAACAGCATGAAATAGACACAGTGATAAAAGAAGATGTTTGAATTCATCAACCTAGATTATTTTAAAAAGCCAATAGAAAGTTTTTTACATCATAAAAAAAACAAGAAGTAAATATGTTATACTTTTCCAGTGCATGATGTAAGAAAATCGTCATTGAGTGTTAGATAAGACCGTAACAAATTAGCTTTGATACCACGAGGTGGTTCAACTGTCATTTTACTTCCATTTTGTAAGATCATTACTGGAAATTGAGGACTTGGCATACTCGTTAACCATAATCGGAAATCTTTGTGTACCTGAAGATAAAAAATTGAATAAAAAGGGAAATTATTTTTTTTATCATGTAATATTCTTGTAACAAGTATAACAAAATGAGGAACTCATTGTAATTCATTGTCATTTATCTTTTTATCATTTTGTTCTTGTTTGACATGTGAAATGATAAATGATCTAATGAAAACCTTTTGACAAAATCGGAACTTTGAGAATATGATGAAATATGGCTCATTTAGACAAAGATATACAGTAAACTTGAGAATCGGAACGATGAATACATAATATTACACTGACAAAAAGGTCATGCAAAATAGTAACAAAAATTATTCTAATGAAATATTGTGCCAATCAATCAATTTGCGTTAGATTATTTGAATAAATGATAAAACAAAAGACTTAGGATACGCTATTTATTTCCAATAGTTAATCAATATACATTTCTAAAATAGATGTATAGGTACAAATTTTCTCTTTATTTTCACATTCATATCTATATACTCTTAACTTTCATTGTTTTCGTTTTCATCATCGTTTACTAATCAATTAAACTTACATGATCAGGATCAACTTGTTCAACTAATCTTTCTAAAGACGGCATCCATGATGGTGATAAATGACAATTTTGAAAAAATACCCATTGTCCTTTTTCCATAGCTGCTCGCATCATTGATTCAGCTCTTGGTCCCTATGAAATAAACATATAAATAATGATTTATTTTTCCTCTTTTGTTGTAATTTTTACTTGTCCTTGTCCAAGTGATATAGCATTAAGACGTTTAGCAAATTTCATTTCTTCAGCAAATTTATACAAATCAGCTGCTGGATCTGTACCAACAGATAGAACAAAGATTAACGGTGTAGTTGCTGATGAATCACGGAAAACAAGATGCAAATCAGCAGTCTATAAGAAAAAAAAGTTATTGATTAATATCATTTGCATACAAGTGACAGTATCTCTTTCTTTTTCTTATTCCCTCTGTAGTCTTAAATAAGAAATATATACTATGAGATTGATATATTGATTAGATTCAAATGAATAATGTGTCTATTTTGATAAGTAATAACATACATATATATATATATACATACTTGTGGCTCAATAAATTTTTGACCAAGATTATTTGACACAAAATCTTGCATGGCATTTGTAACTTTGTCTGGACGAAGACATTTGACGAAGATTATTTTTTGAAAATCATCCAGACGATCAGACCATTCTTGTGGCATAGGAGCCCTATTATAACACAGATAGATAAACAATGAAAGATAAACAAAAACAAATGAAAAGAAATATGAGTTCATGCTAAATCACGTGCGTATTAGAAATACTTATAAGCAGAAGTCCAAAGACAAGTAGTCGCTCCCCAAGGAAGAATATTCGTTCTTATGTCTGTTTTCTCGTTCTTCTTCTTTTTTTTTTGTGTTAGTTTATATAACAAATTTCTCATCATCATCATCATCATCAAGTAGAAACATCAAACAAATAATAAGTGTCTCAGAATGCCACAAATAGTGCCTTTTTTCTATGGTCAATTCAAATATTATTGAACTCAATAGTTTTTTTTTATAAATAGATTATTCAATTACGAAAATTTATCTTGACGGATCTACATCTATATTCATTCTATAACAATCTTTTTTACGCGGTATATATCATTTGTTTGAATGTTTCTCTATCGATTGCTTTTAAAAGAAAAAAAACTTGATAAAAATGTTGTATGTAAAAAAAATTGTAATTCATATTTGTCTTCAATTAAAAATCAACGAATGTTATCTTTATATCCCTATACAATAAATACTTTATGTTGATGATAACCATTTCAGCATTAATGATACTCTCAATTGTTGTGAACCATTTGTAGTTCTCCAAGAGGGTACAACGAGTTTGGATGCAATGTTGACCATGGATACTTGGAAGTATTCTCTAGAGGTGGAATTGATTTTTTTTCGTTTTTGATCTTCCTATTCGGATTTATAGATCCCTGAATGTCAGCATGTATGTTTTGGATCCAAAATTCTGTGCATTTCTCTCATGAAAAAAGAAAAACTACATTTTTGAAAAGCATATAAGTATCTCTGAGATATGATCTAAGGTATCTCTAAAAAATGTTCAACCCGATCTAACAAAGTTAGATGGAAGTCGTAAACTGGCTTCATTTGGTTCTATGAAGATCAGAATTTCTTGAAAAACTTCTTTTTATTCGAACAGATGTGTCCTTATCTTGGGGTGTGGATGTGCGTGTGGGATTGGAATGCCACTTCATTAATACTCACACCCATACCCACCCAAACCCACACTCAATCTGTATAATCTTGAGAAAGTTTGTTTATTTATTAATTCTTTATTTGATTTTCTACAGTAAAACTTCTCGAATGTTAATATTGTTAAGACCAATGAAAAATACTCCCCGTACAAAAATGCTCATTTAATGGAAATGTTTTTGTTTCTTTTTTTGGAATCTATAGATATTCAGTTGCAATCGTTTTTCTTCTTTCTAACAATTAATTAACGTAGCATTTTTGATCAGAATTAAATCAACTCGTGTTGACACAATAAGATCTTACTAATTGTTAACACACAAATGACAAGATGTTACACCAAGGACTAATAATTGTTTATCATAATACAATGCACATAACAGTGTTCTTTCCTTGCTCTCCACATAAAAAGTGATAGAACATATTTTGCTCACATTACAGAGGTTGTTATTGGAGATTAGACCAAAAATAAGTGTTCTCTGCTCACAATAAGAAGATGCTCATACTTGAAAGACTCATTTCTAAGAAAATTCATTTGAGTGGACTATAGAACTGGCAAGTATAAGGATATGCATACGTATAGAATTTTTACTGTAACTGAAAAATTCCAAAAACGATCACATTATATTGATATATCATCTTATCACTAGTGTATATACACATTGCCACCAGATATTATATTTCTCGTAGTTATAGATATGTCAAGAATAGAAACAAAAAAACTTTTAGTTGATAACGGACCGTCAACAAGATCAATGTTTGTCTTGACATATGTGTTCGTCTGAAAAGGTAACGGTTTTTTTTCTTTAATCTTTCTAAAGAAAAACTAAAGAATTCTTTCAGTTTATGATCAGATATAGTCAGTGTGTCATCGCTCCGAAGTCTTGTCATTTTTCTTTTATTTCTTTTCTTTTCATTTTTTTTGATTCAATGAAACAAATGTCATACACATATATACTCTCTCTTAAGTGTGTTCATCGTTGGCATATTCATTCTGATAAAATTTCTTTTCTTTATTAACAATGAAAACAAGTGCAGATATAATATAATCATGATGAATAAAAAATGACATAAATCATCATTATCATTGTCGATAATATCATCGTTCGTCTAATTTTTTTTATTCATTTAATGAAACAATTCTTTGTATGTGTTTTGTGTATTTACTCAAACGGAAAGAAGAAAAAAAAAGCCAAACTAGAAGAAGAAAACAAAAAGGGAAAAATTCAGTAACTCTATTTAATATTGTCTATTCTATTTGTCGTCTAACACATTATTCTTTCACTCTACAGCCAGAAGCACACATCAACTATAGAAATCAATTGATTTGTAACACCTACATTTATATAACGACTTTACCGTTTTCCTGAGAAATAGAATTATAATGCTTTCAAGCACTGATTTTAAAGAAAACAAATATGCCCTATGGGCTGATTCTTATTGATGTGTTTAACACATCACTCACACATTGGAAACTAACAGACTTTTCTTTCTAAATAGACAACATGAGATAGGTGCTTCTATTCTTAATGTATTTTCTCTTACACATCCAATGAAGTGTTAGAATTTCTATCCAATAGAATAGTGCATGACTTGCGATTTCCAAGTTACTAAAAACTTGATGAATTTTTATTATTCAAATCAATCGCAAAAACAACAACAACAAAACTTCTTCTGCTTCCTTTATGATAATCATATAAACGTTAAATAATTGATTTGATTCTACTTGCTAGTAAGTTAAAAAATTTAACTATAGATTCAAGAGAACCACCTATATTAGAATTAATTTTATCCTCTTGTGTTTTGTTGTTTTATTCTTTTGAATTCATTTTTGTCTTTGAACAAATTATTAATAAGAATGAAGTTTTTTTCTTGATTAAGATTTTGTTGTAAAAAAATAATCAACTAACCTTTCTGGTTCACTACTATCGAAGATTCGTTTATAATCTTGTAAATAAGTATGAAAATTTTGAGTAAATCCTTTGAAGGAATCTAATGATTCGAGCGTAAGAATTTCTGACCATATACGATCAGTAATCCATTCTGGTGCTGGATTTGGTATGTCAAGTGGACGTATCGAGCCACCAGCCAAAAAGAATCGATATTCACGCTAAATATAAAAGACAAAATAATATACCGCAATTTAAAGAATTTTTCTTTCTAGTTATTAGTTGTTTTCTTTTTTTAGATATATGATAATTATTGCGACTAAATATTATCATGAGTACTAATCCATGTTTATCAAATGCTAATGGATCGACTTGTTCCGACACATTACATGATATTGAAGTAGCCGGTTATCGTTATGTTATGTCAACAATATGTATATTTGGTGTTGTATGTAATATACTTAATTTATGCGTTCTTCTTCAACGTCGTCTTAAAGAGTCACCGTATACTTATTTAACCGGTTTAGCTCTAGCTGATATGCTTACACTTATTTCAATGTCTCCAGTATCTATTGTACGTGGTGATTATATTCGACATGAAAATATTTTCTTTACTTTAACACGTCTCCAAATTTATATCTATATGCCATTAGCAAATTATTTTGGACAAGTAAGTATAATGATAACAGTTGCATTAACAGTTGAACGTTATTTATTTACAACATATCCATTACGTACACAAAGTTTTTGTAAACCAACTTATGCTCGTCGAGTTGTTGCTATTATATTATTACTTTGTGCTATTTTAAATATTCCAAGATTTTTAAGTGTAGCAATTGATAAACGTATGGGATATCAATATATGTTTAATTCTTCATCATGTATGACACATCCATTTATAATTAAATATTCATCAACAAATAGTGCACATATTGGTCAATGTTTTTGTGTTGTTAATAAGAAAAAAGCAGGTTTTTCAACATTTGAAAATTATTATTATTATACAATGTTACTTATCAATCAAATATTACCATTTGCTATATTACTTTGTTTAAATTTAAGTTTAATAAGACGTGTACAAATGTCAAATCGTTATACATTAGCAGAATTAATAGCACGACAACATACCAATATCGGTTCCGCAACACCAGTAAATACAAAAAAACAAAAACGTTTACGTGATGAACAACGTTTAACAAAAACACTTGTTGCTGTTGTTATTGTTTTTCTTATATGCAATACATTTACAATAATATCCTATCCTGGTCTTGTTGGATTTATAACAAGCAAGAAATATCCAAATTACATTAATGCTGGGTTTCGTATACAAAAATTAATAACCAATATTATGCTATTATTAAATTATTCGATAAATTTTTTTTTCTATTGTGCATTTAATCAAAAATTTTTGAATACATTAAAAGAAACATTTCGATATCAAAATTTATTTTGTGGTTTAAAATCATCTGAACATCGAACTTTATCAACAACTTCATCAATAAATATAAATTCAAAAATTTTTACAACGAATAAATATATATCACGATACCATGAAAGTCCACAAGAAACTAATAGACCACGAAGACAATATTCGAAGAAAGAAGATTTTTAAAAAGAAAACAAATCATCGAAGATAAACTGACAATTAATTATGATTTTGAGGGTATACGTGTTTTGTTAAAAGAAAATGATATACATAGATTTCGATTGATAAATACTTAAAAAAAAACGTGTAATTTGTTTTTTTGTCGTATAGAATGATAATAAAATGCTTTGAATTATATTAAATTTTTGAAATTTTGATAGAAGAAATTCGAATAAGAACGCTAATTTTTTTTGATGAAATTCGAAATTCTAATCGATTATTCCCTTAAAACTTATTAAATTCCTCTAAATAACTTTTAGTCATGTTTAACTAATTAATATTGGAACATTGAATGATTTTTCATCATCTATAGAAATTGAGATATAAAAAATCATTCTTAAAGATACATATGAATAGAAAATGATGAATAGCATCTAAGAATTAGTTTGTATAGAAATAGTTTGACTGATTAAAATATTAGAAAATCCAACATGACTGATTCAAGTTTATTCTTTGCATGTATTGGGGTAAGAAGCTAATTATATCTGTCATTGTTTTATGAAGAATGATTTCTTAGCATGATGAGTCAATCAAGATTTCTCTTCTTTTAAAACTGATAAATACTTCTCAACCATAAAAATGTAAAAAAAAAAGCTTTTAATTTATATAAGAAAAACTCGATATCTCGTCTGATAGATTTTTCCTTGAAGTACAAATCCAATTTTAGTACATGATAATTAAGTACAAGAAAACAAGGCTTAAACATTGCACTTGATCTCTGATACTTTATATTTTCATGTCATTTACAAATCATGTTGAAAGAATTTGTATCTTATTGTTTTTGTAGATATGATATTATTTATATATGTACGACAAAAAAAACAAAACAGATAACGTCTTCTATAAATATTTATCTATCGAAAACATGGTTAAAAAACAATTTTATGGCATTATATTTATATTCTATAATAAATATATATATACAAAACTAATCTTAACTCACCATTTGTATTTTCTTTTGATTCATTAATATTCGTACAGTTAGTAAGAATGCAAATAATAATTTATGTTTTTCAAATAAACTTCGACATACATTACAATAAAGACTAAATGTAAAATAATCATTTATATTTTTAATACGTTTTTCCAAAACATCTAAAAAAACGAAATTCAATTTTCTAATTTTAATAAAACAAAAAAAAAAAATAAAAGATAAATTTTCTACCTGCACGTGGTGCACTTTGAATACTTGTTAAAAATATATTTGTAAACCATTCTAATGAATATTGATACATAGGATCCACATTAGCTAAATCTGATACACAGAAAAATAAGATTTGTGTATTAACAGCAACAGGAACATATTCAGCACGAGTCATATCAATATCTTTTTCTGTTTGTTCAGCTGCTTGCATTTTTGTCTATAGAAAATGAGATCTTTATTTTTTTTTCTAATTATCGAAAATAAAAAAACAAACTTTAATTTCAGTTGATTTTGCTTTTGATGCTTCAAGTGCAGTTATTAATTCAATATCATCAACAGGATTTTCACTTGTACTTAATTTTTCAAGTATTGTATCTTCTAATGCTTTTAATTCATTACGCATAGTTGCATTTGAAATAATTAATGTATTTTTCATTTCTTCTAAATCTGGACGTTCTTCAGCAACAACACGAGCTAACATTTGATCTTCCAAACCACTAAAAGAAAAAAACTTCAATCGATTTCTTTTAATTTTACACACAAAAGAAATTTTACCTTGGAGATAATGTAAAATTAACTAATGTTACTTTAACTGATATTTCAGGTGAATAATGTGGATTAGGTAATTTAGTTGTAATATAAAAACGAAAATCATCATGATATGGTATAACAGCATCACCTAATTTAATAACTGTACTACCCGATTGACGATATGTCTAATAAAATAGAACAAAATAATTTTGGTTTTTCTAGGTATATAAAGATTTTACTTGTCTTAAAAGAACAGGTTCAAGAGCTAAATAAAATATAAGATAAAAATTAGAAAATTTGTTTTTTTTTTTTGAAAAAAAAGAAACTACAAACCAGGATCCATATCAGTTCCAACATTTTCTAATAAACAAGGTTTACCAAAACGAATTGAATTTTCAAGTGTACGTAAATAATCACGATCAGATAATTTCATTACATCAAGACCAGTATTCTTTTCCTAAAATAATATAAAACAAATTGTTAGCACAATTCATATAGAAGTAAAATGTCAAATTCGATGTACCTACTTTTGCTAACCCCAGGGGATATTATTTTATTCTAGCTATTTCAAAATACATTTCTTTATTATTCTTTTAATTAATCCTTCAGAAATGCAATAAGGATGTATTTCATTGAGTATAATAAGACATTATTGATATACAGATTGTGAATATATGTTACGGTCTAGAACGAAGGAGTTCTTTGCTAAAATGTCTCTGATTTTCCTTCGTGAGCTAATGTCTATCACGATTTCTGAGCAGTTCAAATGCAAGTATACCGTTTTCAGTACAGAACGGAATGTATGTAGACCACAAGGAAAAGACTGCCCCTATCTAATAGTGTATGTATAATCAGATTATATGGTGTACCCGTGCCCTGTCAATAGTGCGTACTAAAATCTGATAATGAAGATTAATAAAGTCTTTCTCTAGGTACCTAAATATATTCCTTTTTGCAGTCAAAAACTAATAGCCGCTTTTTCACCCATGAAAGTGAATACTCTTAGCAGATCATGTTATGTAAAAAATCATCGTATTAAAAATTATTCTTCATTTGTTTTTACCATATTTTTAATCCATTTATTAGCTTGTCCTTGAGGATCAATAAATAAAGACCAACGATTTGAATATTGAACAATAACACCATTTTGTACAGATAAATTATCTTTGGGTAAACCAGCTAATTGCCAATTACGAATTTTAACAGCATCACCAAGTACACGAACTAATTCAGGATGTTCAGTATGTGGAACTTGATATGCTGTTAATTTAGTTATCCATTCTTTAACCATATTATCACGATATTCAGCCTAAAATAATTATTGAAATAATTTAATTTTAAAAATCCAACTAGAAAAATTTTTTGTTTTACAGTAAATGGACCAAGATAAGCAACGAAACCTGATGATACAAGTACATCACCAATAACATTTTCTAATGAATGATCAAGCATTGAGACATTTTCTTGCCAACGAACTTTTTCATCACCAAGGCCAGTCGTTAGCTATTTCAAACGAAAACATATATATTTTTCAATATTAATAAATTATTTCACAAAAAAAGCTATTCTCGAAGTGAATTAATATCTTTACAAATAAAAAACTGAAAATTTTTTTCTAAACTTACACGTTCAGCTCGAACAATTCGTTGATTACATTCATCAACTTTAGTTTCATATTCATTTTTTTTTCTAACAGCATCTTCATATTTAACTTGTAATGTTCTTAAACCTTCTTCTAATTTTTTTAATTCACGTTTTTTAGTTGCTAATTCTTCTTTAACAACAGCTAATTCAGATTCAGCATTAGCTAATGCTTCTTTACGTGGTGCAACTTCTTTATTAATCATATAAAATGAATACATAGCTCGACTCCACATACATAATGATTTACATGCTTTTGAAGTTTTTTCTATTTTAATTGGATCAAAATCAGGACTATCAATATGTTTTTGTAATTTTTGTATAACAATTTCTGGAATATTTTCTTTATCAAAGTCTCTTAATGATTGAAGAAATTTTCCAGCATCACCTAATAAACCACGACCTGGTTCCCAATAGTCATCTTCTTTTTTACCTGGTTTATTAGGTACAGGTACTTTTAATGGTTCAACTTGTTTTAATATGCAAACAGCTTCCATTGTTAATTTGACACCTGGTGGTGGTCGTTGTAATGCACGTACTTCATTAATATCATTTTTCGATAAAACTTCAAGACTTTGTAATGCAGCTTCAAGTGCTGGCAGAGCCTCAGCTAAACGATCGGATGCTTCACTTGCAATAGCACGTGTTTCTTGTACTTTTTTTAAAACTTGTTCTTCTTCACTAGCTACTTTTGTTTTTATTACTTCCGTATTTGTTGTATCTTCAGCTATTTTAGCCATTGTTTCATTTGTTTCATGTACAGCTTGATCAAGTAATGGTAACATTTCATTTAATTCAACACGTAATTTAGCAACATCTTTTTCTGTTGCTAATAATTTATCTAAGCCAGTTTTTGTACGTTTTTTAGCGAAAACTAATTCATCTTTCTTTTTACCAAAAATTTTTGAAAATATATTTAATAATTCAAGATATGATGTTGGTGTAACATAATTATATCGACTCATTTCTTCACGATATTTGTTAGTCATATGTGCTACAGATTGATGAATTTCTTGACATAATTTAACTAGACCACTAACAACACTATCATCAGCTTCTAATGTTGGCATATTATTTAAATAAGTTTCAGCAACAGCTTCTAATGCATCTTTCGGCCATTCAGAATACCAATCAATTGTACAGCAACTAGAAATATATGTTGAATATTTTAGAGAAGAAAGAAGAATATATTCGAATTTATTTTAAGAAGAACGTATGAGCCATACTTAAGGGTTTGATTTTAAAAGATGAGTGCAGCATGATACCCGATTAGATATTTAACTACAATATCTGTTCGATCATTTTCAGTCATCATGATTGAATGACTACGTTGTTCGACATGCATTCACAAGGTACTATGTTTAAACCTTAGTATCAACAGCATACTTCCAGATTAAAGTCTCTGCTGTTTTCTCTCGAACTGAACAAATCGCTAACATCTATTTGTTTCGGATTACGTCTTCGATAGCATGCTAACTACGTTGTGAGACACACATACTCTTATAGTCATGCATAAGCAAAGCTCAAGTAATTGAGCGTTAGAACGATTTATTAGGCTAATCTTTTGTCCTGAGGTGCAGCTAGTATTAATCGTCAGAAAGATCTCGGGCTACTAAATATGTCACTAGAAAGGGCTCCACACTACGAAGTA